GGTGCTGGGGGATTGAACCGCGGTCCCTGTGCTTTGCCAAGCTTGTTCCAAGTAGGTGCTTTAGACCACTGAGCCATCTCTCCAGCCCTTTTTTTTCATTATTTTCTATGCATGTTTATGCTTAAGAAAATTCCAAAGCCGGGGAGATAGCTTAAGCACGAAGTCCTGACTTCAATCCCTGGTAACAACAACAACAAAAAGCAGGGGGTGGGGGAGGCTGGGAATATAGCTCAGATGGTCCAAGTGCCTGCCTGGCAAGCACACAGTCCAGAGTGTGACAGCCTGTACCACACGCCATGCGGCCCTAGGCCGAGCTGGCCACCGGAACCAGGCATGGTGGCACATGAGTACAATCCCAGCACTGGGGAGGCTGAGACAGGAAGATTGCTACAAGTCTGAGCTGCGTAGCGAGACTTTGTACCAAGCTGCTAAATAAAAAGATTAAAAAAACAAAGAGAATTCTGAGAGCTTTTCAAGGCAGGGAGTTAGGGCCCGGCACAAACAGCTTAGTGCTGCACACTGGAGCTGAGCGGCGGCTCCAGCTGGACTTGATGTCAGAGGAAGAGAGAAAACTGAGTGGAAGTTGGGTGCCTGTCCTCCAGCGACTTCCTGGATGACAGGGAAAGGCCCTGAGCCCGTAGGAACGGTGCCTCAGCAGCAAGGGCCAGGCCCCAGGAAGCTCTGCGCCAGTCGTGCGGGCCCGCTGTGGGCCGCAGAGCACGCGCGCCAGCTAACACGGCCTCCACACTTTCTCAGCAAGTGCAAGTCACTTTCATGCCCACATTTTTTTAAAGTTGCTTTCATTAAATAGCAAATCCACCACAAAGGGGGTGAGCTCGCACCACTGGAAATGCACAGAACTCCGGGCACACGCAGGAGCCAAGCCCTCTGCACACCACATGCATGCACCAAACCTGGCAGAGACTAGCTTCTTGTCTCTGTGAGGTCCTTCACCAGCGCCAGACCAGTGCGCCAGCACTTACTTAATGGGGACCCAGGTCATGATCAAAGTTGTAAGCACCCCCTATTTTAATTAGGCAGAGGATTCCAAATGCATAACCAACACAATGCAGCTTACGATAGGACATTTTAATGCTTCAAGAACAGGCTTACCGCGCTGGCACACTATATATGACAGAGAAAAATTTCAGTTTAGCTATTTATTCTCAGTTTTTAAAGGCAGACTATATCTTGTCTCAAACTTCTGCTGTCCTTCAGGTACTTACAACTGCCAGATGCTTGACCTTTTTTTTTCCTGCATGGCTGGGTTCTCTCGTGATGCCCTGCAGTAAGAAAAGAACAGAGCTGTAAGCTCAGCATTCCGCTGTCTGAAGAACATAGGACCCAGAGTTCACAGAGTGCAGGGAGGTGCTAGTTCAATTCAGCAAGTAGTTACTTTCACCAACCCACCGGTCAGCTGGTCTGCTAAAGCTAAAGCTAATGCTAAAGCAATGGCCCCCTCCCTCAAAAAGCTCAGTTGCTGGTGGCGAGTACCATCTGTGAGGGCTAGATAATCAACATGCCTTAATATTAGTATATTTTCCATTTCAATTTTTTAAAGAGAAAAAATCCTTGCTAGCTTGCCCAGGTTGGGCTTTGTTTCTGAGACAGTATTTCCCTGTGCAGTTCAGCCTGGCCTCCATCTCGCGGCAGCCCTCCTGCCTCAGCCTCCCTGGTGCTGGTGTTGCAAGCTGGCAGCACTACGCCCCGCATTCCATGCCCAGCTGAGATTGTAGGCACACCCAACAATATTAAAACATCTGTGTTAACCCAGGCATGGTGGTGGATGCTTGTGAATAACCCAGCCTATGTAGGCTGAGGCAAGAGGATAACAAGTAACAAGCCAGCTGGGGAAATTTAGCAAGGCCATCTTGAAGTTAAGAAGCACACGACATGCAGTGCAAGGCCCTGGTTTGAGCCTCAACAACACACACACAAACATGTAGCAGACGAAAAGGAAAGGAAAACTACCTCTATCCCTTTGGAAACACTACGTTGAAGGAAATCCCGTCTTTCCACAATGGCCTATCACCCATGTGCTCCGCGCTCCCCAAGCAGCTGGGGCTTTACTGTTCTCTTGGGGCACTGCGCTCATGTACTTTTCTACATAACTGAAAAGACCACTGAGGGAAGAGGACAAACTGGGCTGACAGGGACCTCAATAAAACTTCAGAAAATAAGGCACCCCACAGGCTGAGGCACTCAGCAGTTGCTGCCCCCCACAGCATACCCTTCACTTCTTTTTTTGTGTTCATAGAAGAAAGTTAAAACACTTCTTAATTCAGTGAGCACATTAACAGTTGCTAACTACCCTGTCCGTGGCTGTTAAGAGCTAGAAGTAGCCGTTTGATGTGGAGCCTGGCAACCCGCCTTGTTTTCAAAGTACCTATTATTTAATAGAGTTCCTCAATGCAGCAGTAGCCAGGGAGATGGCTCAGTGGAATAAGCGCTTCCCTGGCAAGCGCAAGGGCCTGCGTTCAATTCCCAGCTCCAGAAAAAAAAAAAGACCTCAAAACAGCAGTTAACAACACACTTCTCAAGTTAGTGTCTTTGTGCAGTGAGTGAATACAGATTAGAACGCTACTCTTTCATTCTCAGTAGCTATAGCAAGTAGAGTAATAGCAAATTATAAATTGTTATACAAAATGCTTCCTTTTTTTGTGGAACCAGGGATTGAACTCAGACCCTTGCGCTTGCCAAGGAAGCGCTTATTCCACTGAGCCAGCTCCCCGGCCCCAAGTATGGCAGACGGATTTTTTTTTTTTTTTGGCTGGCTCAGAATGCCTTCGGGGCATGTTTGGCTGGCTGGCTTGAGTTGTGGGGATCAATCACAGCAACCCGAGGCAGACTGCTTCGTTGAAGCAGCCACTTAAACAACTGAGCTAAGGGGCAGGTCCCCCAAAATGCTTCTTTCTAATATGATATAATCACAAGGAAGTAAAAGTTGGAGGTTAGAAAATATTTCATCAGCTTACATATAATTTATCAATATGTGCTGCTTTGATAAATCTGATTTGACAAAACAAAGCTAAGGATATGGGTGGATCAGTGGACCACGAATTTACAAACTTTTCCTATGCTCTTTTGAAATTTAAGGAACAGGGTTACTGAGAACGTGATCACTAGCTGGCAGCATTAGTATGCTATGAGATCCAAGAACAGACTGGAGCGCAAGTTCTTTCCGCTGAATTATGGAAGTTATTTAAATTAATTAATTAATTAATTAATTTTTTAAATTTATGTGTGTGTGTATGTGTGTGTGTGTGGCCAGCTCAGCCCACCAGGGGGCGGGGCTGGCTGGCATGTGGTGCTGGGGGATTGAACCGCGGTCCCTGTGCTTTGCTAAGCTTGTTCTAAGTAGGTGCTTTAGACCACTGAGCCATCTCACCAGCCCCAATATGGAAGTTATTTTTAAAAAAATCCACCGTGAGGCGAACAGAGATGACTCAGATTTGTTGGGAAGCCGGGAGGGAAGAGGCAGGTTCAGTCACTTCACGCTATATGCATGTACTGAAAAATCACACTGAGCTCCACTAATCCATACAAATACCGCGTAGTAACTAAGAAACTAAATAAGAGCTAGGCATGGTAGGACACACCTACATCCCAGTGCTGGGGCAGGAGAACTCCAAGTTCCGATCTAATCTGGACAACGCAGTGATAATCCTGGCTCAAAACTAAAGAAAAAAATGATAAAAAGGGCAATGGAGGACAGGCGTGGTGGTGCACACCTGCAATCCCAGCAGTGGGGAGGCTGAGGCAGGAAGACCACTGAGTTTGAGGCTAGGTGGGTTACAAAGTGAGTTCAAGGCCAGCCTGAACTGCATAGCAAAACTGCCTCAAAAAGATAAACAAATAAATTTTTTGAAAATTAAAAGGGCCTCTGGATGGGCAGATCTCAGGGGAGCAATGCCCCTCAATCACTTCCCGGCAGCAAGAAAGAGACCCAGGTGACTGGGGGATGGCCGCCGGAGGTGCACTTTGCATGAACAGGAAGAGATGGAAAACCAAGTGCATTTCACAGGAGGATCTAAGTAAAAATGATGTGCTCCTTGTTTCGTATAGGAAATTTTGTTCGTTTCCTGACTGACAGTAGCTTTAACTTCTATATTCTTCTGAAAAGCAAGTACCACTCCCAAGTAACAACTGCCTTTTGTGGGAGGGCTCGTCCAGGAATGCACAGAGGTCTTCAGGATGGCCCTCTGGCTCCGTGCTGTTTCTAACCCAAGTATTTATTCATTATCCAACAGCCTGACTCAGTGTGGCAGGGAAGAAAGAACACGCCGCTCAGGTGGTACTTGGCAAAGGCTCTCCCAGAAGGCACAGGAACGGCTCAGTCACTCAAGGCAGGGAGCCAGCGACGGATCGACACAGAGCCAGGAGACAGGCACAGGGAGGCACCAGCGTGCATCTGACACAAACCGAATCATCTCCGTCCATCGGACAGCTTCCTGCAGCTCCATCAGTCTCTCTTTATACTGGTTTCTCTCCATGAGAACGCGGGCCATCTCCACTCTTGTGAACCGCTTCCTCTGGGCCGTGGGGATATCACTCTAGAATGACAAGAAGAGGGCAGATCACTCAGGGGCTTATGTCTGCTTTGGTGCTAATGCCTAGTTTCTAAACATTCTTTAATTTCTAATCTAAAAGATGGATTAAAGAAAAATGCCCATAAACTGAGTGTGGCGGCACATTCTTCTAACAGGCTTAGGTAGGAGTATCCCAAGTTTGAGCCCAACCTGGGCAATTTAGCAACTTAAGGCAGACTGGAAAAAAACAAAACAAAACAAAAAACCCCAACCAGCTGGAAGGCTTGGGATGGACAGCAAGGCTTGGGATGAACAGTCTTCCTCCTCTGTGCTCCTCCAACAGAGCCTGGCCTGTACTTCAAACGAAAGTACTTCCAATAACAGAAGACCTGCATTCTGCAGCAAGGCGCCCCCACTTGCTAGGTTTATTCCCTGGAAAATCTTGCTTCCACATGCCAGGTTTATATTAAAATGTTCTCGGCAACATAACTGTTTGTGGAGGTAAAAAAAAAAAAAACTGCATCTCACCCACAGTGAGCACCAGGCAAGTGGGCAGCACAGACCGTCCTTAGAACGCGGCCCTGGGACTGCAGCGTAGCACTGTGGCACAGTGCCAGGCACCCTGGAGCACATGCGGCTGGGTACAGAGCCATCCACGACTCAACACTGGACGGACCACAGCACGATGCAAATACACTGCGGGGGTACGTGCGGCTGGCCCAGGAGTACTGCATGTTTGAGTCCAGCCTAGGTGGCTTGGAGAGGCCCTGTCTCAAGTGTAGCTCAGTGGTGGAGACCCTGGGGTTCCTCCTCAGCACAGCAGCCCTGGCCCCCAAACTAGGAGGGAGATTTACGGCACGAACTCACCAGGATCTCTAACTCCATCTGTCAGTGCCAAAGAGTGTACTAAAAACTCAGAAAGCCTGAAGGGACACTGAATGACCCTTCTTCCCAAGACACCCGCACACCGCAAGTATCACCCTGGACGTGGAAGCGTCGGCTGCGAGAATGACAGTGCGCTAACGGCCACCCTCCACGTTTTAATACAGAGCCAATGCCGGGGACTGACTTGCTGCTACTAAAGTCCTGAACTTCACCTTCCTCAGATAAATACATCTGAACAACTTTAATCACTAGGTTCTCATATTTCTGAATCAAAATTTGACACAAAGTAACCAGTATCAACAACCACTCCACAATGTCCTAGTGGTCCTTGAACTCAGCCTGCAGACGCTGGTCACTGCAGGCCGCAGAGGAGCCATCTGTGTCACTGCTCTAGGCACACCCAGAAACAGGTCCGGCCCTGCCCGGGGGAGCAGAGGCCCAGACTGAGAACCTACGTCATCCTCATCCTTGGCTTTCTGCCGTGCATCTTCAGCTTCGGCCCGAGCCCTGGTGGGAAAAAACAAAACACATTATCTGAATTGAGCATGGCTTTTCAAATAACGAAAGGGTAGGTGTATAGATTAACACTAAGGAATGGTCTTTCTTTTGCCAAAAGTGTACAGCACTGTCCTTAGTTTGGGAAATGTTATCACAGCACTCCATGAGATCGCAAAAGGACAGGTCTCGAAGGAAAATGACACGAAGATTTCCAGATAGTTCTCTTCACATCAAGGCAGACACGAACTGCAGTACCAGCTGCCACCCGTGCTCTGCCTTCTCCCAGCACGCCCCGGGCCTTCCCCAAGGCCGCTGCCTCAGCACCGCACCCAAAGCCCCTGCCAGCCCCCTCCAGGACAACTGGAGAGCGAGGCCCACACTCACTTCCTGAGCTCCTCCTCCAGCTCCCTGTTCTTCTCCTCCAGCTTCAGCTTGGCTTGCTTCACGGCCTCCAGCTCCCCCTGCAGCACGTCCTTTTCGCATGTCAGCTCATCCACCCTAGCTATCAAGTCGTTCTTCACCACGTTCAAAGCGTTCCTAAGAAACACACATCCAAGTGCACCGTCACCATGCCCTTTCCATCTCTCAGCTCATTCCCTTATGGACTAAGGCAACTGTGTGACTGCATGGCTGAAGAGCTGAGCGCTGTGAGATGTTCGACCCGATGCCACTTGTAGATAAAGGTGGAAGGACACCACATGCCCCTTTTTTAAGTTTGCACTCTTTCCCTTTATGAAGACTAGATAAAACTAGACAGACTACCAATACGCAAAAAGCCAGAATTAAGTAACACAAAGCTTATAAAACAAGCATTCTTGGGCCAGAGAGATAACTCAGGGGCTGAAGTGTCTGCCTAGCAAACACGAGGACCTGAGTTCAATTCCCAGCATCCTCCCCACCAAAACAAAACAAGACACACAAACATTCGCTCCCAGTAAAGAAATATGTACATGTCTTACTCCCTGCTCTTGCTCCACAGCCTAGAGAGGTGAAGCGACTGGGGCTAGCTAGGGAAAGAGGTGGTTCCGGAGGAGCGAGGGGTCATCAGATTTCTTTATGCAAGCAAGGAAAAGACAAAAGAAGCAGCACTCTTAGGGCTACCACTGCTGTACGTTCTGTAGAGGAGCTATTACCTAATCAAGAAAGTCAAACTGTTCCTGGAAGTTATCTTTAATAATCAGTGAGGAAATCATCTAACTGGAAAGAAGCTTAAGAAAGAAAACATCTAAGATCCGCTCCTCTAGTATGGCGGGCCTAGCTCGTGACAGTGACATTCCATGAGGACGCACACGTGGGCCCAGGCCGCCTCCGGGCCGGTGTGTCGGCACTGCCACACACAAGAGTTAAGGCTCTGTCCTCTAGACGGAGACTGCCGAGCTGATGAAGCACCACTGACGTGGCTGACAGAAAATGTTTGTTCCTTTGTTATTATTTCATACTTACTTGGTTTCCAAAAGTTGTGTATTTTCTAGTATAAGATTCTCAACTTCACGACCCATTCCTATCAAAAGAAAAATGGTATAAAGACATCAAAATAAATTTATAAAAAATTGTACACCAGCTATAGCTTTTATTTTATTAATTTTTCTGTCCTTGAAATAATATTATTTTGCCTATAAAACATAAAATTAAAAATATTCATCATAAAGCAAAACTCAAGATCTTATTGGCCAATTTTTTCCTTCTCAGTACTGGTGACAATCCCAGGGCCTCTCATTGAGCTACACCCTCAGCCCTTTGATATTTTAAGACAGGATCTTGCTAAAGCGACCATGCTACCCTAGAACTTCCAATCCACCTGCCTCGGCCTCCCACTGGCTGGGTCTGTGAGTGTGCATCACTGTGCCCAGCTTTTTTAAAAAGTCAATTTATTACACCTGCTAGTCTCTAATTGTTTCTCATAGATAAAACTTCAAAAGGATCAGAACTTTTTAGTCAAATACTCTAACCAGTAGCACTGTCCAGGGAGGAAAAAAATAGCATTAGTAAGGATCAGAAGTTCCAAATTACAGTGGATGGATACTGTAGCTTCTGCTCAAACATTAGGTCTCATTAATAAAGAACGGCATTCACAAAGCTAAAGAAAGACAGAACCCCAAGGCAGATGAAACCTTACCAAAGAAATTATGGTCTTAAAGCCCATGCATTCCATGTAAAGCAAAAACAAAGAACAAGAAATGTTTTATGTAAGAGACAGCATGAAAATAGATCATTAATTTATAAAGGTCTATGCGTGACATGAAAAACATCTGGAACCACAATGTTATGACTTAATGCATAATGATGTATAAAAGACAGAAATAAAGGTGACTGCCTTCATTCATGAGGATATTCTCAGATATAGCTAAATACTTTGTCAATTCTTTCTCATAAGACAATGAAAAATAATTAGATTGAAAATCTCAAATGAGTAATACTAAGTTTCCCATGAAGTACTGCCTAGGAAATCGTAAGATGGCTTCACTTGGTAAACATTATTATTATTATTAGGCAGCACTATACTGGAGACTGAACCCAAAACCTCTGCACTGTGTTATATCCCTGGCCCCTTTCATTTTTATTTTGAGATAGGGCCTTACTAAGTCACTAAGTTGCTCAAGCTGGACATCAAATTGGAATCCTCTCAGCCTCCCAGAGTGCTGGGATTACAGGTGTGGCCATCATACCAGCTGTGTATACTATTTTAATGGGTATTCTAAGGCACGTAGAGCACTCAATGCAAGATCCATGATAGTAGTCTTTAGGGAGAATAAAATTATTTAATTTGCTTCTCATAAGAAATGAAGTAACATATTAGGGAATATGTTTTTTAAAAAGCAAAACAAGGGCCGGCCAAATAGCTTAGCAGATTAAAGCTCCTGTAAGCAGGCGCAGGGGCTGGGGTTTGATCCCTGGGCCTGTGGTGTCGGCCCCGCCCCAGGGGTGCACTGAGATGGGGTGTGATGGTGCGCGCCTGTAATCCCAGCTCTTGGGAGGCTGTAAACAGGTGGATCACTACGAGTCCTATGTAGTAGTGAGATCTTATCTAGTACTGAGACCCTGAACACCCTGTAGATCCTTCCCTAAAAAAAAAAAGCAAAACAAAAACAAAATGACCCTCAATTGTCCCAAGTAACTATAAATTAATGTTGGATAGCAACATGCAAAAAGTAATACTTTTAATTCAGGAAAATAAGAAAATATTTCTAAAGAAACTACTTAAGGCAAAGGGGTTAACATGTCCTTTTAGTTTGAAAATGTAATACTCAAAATGACTTTTAAATTATTAAGATGAAACCAAAGTAGGAATGCTAAAAATTCAATGGTAACATAGGGTCTTTTACTTTGTCTATATAAGTCTTCTCAAATATCAGAAGTAGTAGCTTATTCAACTACTCACTACAAACGTGGGGGAAAAAAACTGAACAAGTTTTCCACTTCCGGCTCTGCAATGACTTTTGCTGAGCCACGTGCTTTGCACACTCATGTCAGTGCTGCAGTGAAGCCACAGAGACGGAAGCAAGTGCAGCCTGGCGGAAAAAAGGTCAGGTACTGCTTTTACAGGACTGCTAAAAACTCCAGGCACTTAGATAGGTGTAAGAGCTGAAAATGTACGGAGGGCAAAACCAAAGGACAACAGAAATGGCGGGAGAAACGATGAGGAAGCATGAGGGCGGCAGCCGGGACACCTCGCGTAGGGCAGCAGCACAAAGCAGGTGAGAGCATACACACCAGAATATTCCCCTGGGGAAGCGGCCCAAGAGAAAAGTGAACGAGAATCTCAATTAGATTGTTTTCAGAAAGCAAGGGCTAAACTCATTTATTTTAAAATGAGAGATCGAGGTGACAAAGAAATCCAAACAGTACAGAGAAACCATTAAACGCAATGCAGTATAAATACCACTCTACAAACAGGAAAAAACTGGAGTATGTACTCATGAGAAACATATCCTGTTACTGTTCTAAAGTTTGTACCAAAGTTAGGTAATGTCAATAAAGTCTGTTTAAAAACTATTGTAATTTAAGCTACGATAAAGAGGAGTCTCCAGAATTTTCATTTTGTGACATGTTAGTAAAAAGAAACTGACTGCAACTATGAGAGAAAACCCCAACTGGATGTCAGCATCGATCCTGAGCTAGGTCCAGACAGGACTCGGAGCTGCCCCTGGAGAAAGGCTGCCCGGGTCTGTGGGGCTGCGCACGTCTCCAAGGCTGTGTACTGCTTCCTTAAAAGCTCCCCTGGGAAGGAGTTTTACTCTCAGAAGGTGAACAACCACAGAGATGAAACAAAACTCCAAGAACGATTTCACAGCCCCATTCCCTTAGTTCCTGTGCTTTTTGCTAAAACACAAGTTGTCTTGGCCGCACCAAACACAGGGATCCAGTCAGACAGGTGAATGGAACATGACAGGAAAGTCTCGAGAGTGGCATAATAATGCAGAGGGGACCACAGCAGATCCCTTTAGGGCCTGTCATGGAGGCAGAAGAAAGGGGGAACACAAACACAAACTAGGGGGAGGACAAGCAAGCCTAGCGCTGGGCTGGGGAGAGTGGGCTGCACAGCCAGGGAGGGCAGATGCGGAGCCTGACCAAAGTCCCCGCAGGGATTACTGGGCAGTTTGGAAATAACGGTCTGGACTCCAGAAAAAGATCCAGGGTAGGGGTAAGGACTAAAGTGAGTATTAAAGCAAGAAACAGGGCAAGCGTACTTTCCCAGGCGCACCTGCGTGCAGGTGACACAGGAGCAGTGCAGGAAGGACAGAAAGCCAACAAGAATAGCTGTGAGGATAACTGCTTTGGAGAAGTAGTGCAAAGTGACAGACACAGCAGGCCAGGGGCTGCTTCGGGCAAGAAGGCTGGTCAAGATGGCTACATAGCTGCGGGGTACACCCGGCAAATGGGGGAGCCCTGCCATGATGTGGAGGCGCTGTGGCGCTGCTCACTGTCTCTGCACTGTCACCTAATGAGATGGGGCCTGATGGGACAGGACAGGAGAAGCCAGTGCGGGAGGGCAAAGTTCCAGGGTCACAGGAAGTAGCAATTTATTTTTATGTAGCAAAGACCTCTATGTTTAAGTGCTAAGGAGAAGTTAATGGGGAGTGGACAGGGAGAATCCGAGGAGTTGGAAACCAGCACTCAAGAGGATCACTGCGAGTTCAAGACCAGCCTGGCTACAAAGGGAGCTCAAGGCCAGCCTGAACCATATAGGGTGACCCCGTCTCAAAGAGACAAAAAAAAAAAAAAAAAAAAAAAGAGGTGGGTGTATGGATGTCAAACTGACCAGTTTTAGGACTCAGTCAGCGCCACCAACACCAGAGAAGAGGCTCTGAGAATTCGGGAGTCAAGGGACTGATGCCAGTCAAGGTAAAGGACAAACTGCAGGGTTGCTTCATTTAAATGATTAAACCCAGGAAAGGCTCCTCTTGGTAGTGGGTCCATCAACAAGATTAAAATATATTTAACTTGGAGCAAGAGCTTCATAACAGAGCCATAACCAGGATAGGGAATGCTGAGTCACAGAAGTGGACTATGTACCTATATATAGGCCTAAGGTCACCTATTTTGTGAGTGCCTCAGCTGTCACCGCCGGCTAGCACAGAATGAAGCTAAAGGACAAGCGCATCCCTTCCGCTTCACTCCCCATCTTTGACTGATATAGTAAGTAGGCCTAAGTCACTAAACTAGTATGTTTAAAACAGCCTAACTTGGGGTGTTCTCAAAATAAATATATTAATAGCTGTAAAACAAGAGACCGCAGTTTACACTCTGCTTCTTCTCTCCACTGTGTAAAGGAAGCCAAAGAATTAGAATTTTAATTTAAATTTATTTATTATGTTTAAGTTCCTGACTTTTAGAAAATACTAAATTTTACTGCAAGCCCATAAGTATTTTTCAATACTATGTGGCTTGATTCTTTACAGAAAAAAATATTGGGGTATCATTGATAGTTTTTTCAGGTGCCCAACACAGCAGAGAACAGGCAGAAGGAAAAAGGTAAAGGGGCTTTATTATCTTGGAGGACGTGGAGAGAATTTGGGGAAGATGAGGATTTCTCTCTATTGGAACAAAGGGAGGCTTTTATGGCCTCTTCCCAGGCGTGGAGCTGGTAGGGGATGTTTAGATTTAGCTGAGGAGCTGAGTGCGGGTCTTCCCTGAGGCAGCCGGAAGGGTGAAAGGAAACTGTATCCTGGGCCGAGCTGGAGAAGAAGGGGGAGCTGGTCTTGGGAAAAGGGCTTTTGTTTTATCAGCCATATTAGATGACCACCAGGATGATTTAGCAATTTATACTAGGACCAGCACCTATCAGTCACTAGCCTAAAAAGCTTATAAGGAAACAGTGTACAAATCATATCAAAAGATACTTCATTTTAGTTAATACAAAGAAGTACCAAGAAAGAATTTTGGAGGGCTAATTATATTGATTCTGGAGGTGGCTGCACAACTCTGCATTTGTCAAATCTCAAAAAGTTGTGCTAAAAAAAAAAAAAAAAAAAAGCCAGCAAATTTTAAGCATGTAAATCTGAATAAGAATTTTTAAAATTATTCTAACTTTTTTGCATCTGCCTTTCAGTTCTGTCACTGAGTACTTTTCTTTTTTGTACTGGGGACTGAGCCCTTTGCCTGCTAGCCGAGGCATGTCCTCAAGCCTTCCTGGGGTCCTTACTAAGCTAGTAGCTGCCCAGGCTGGCCTCAGCCTCTCACAGTGTGAGGCTCAGGTGTGCACCTCATGCCTGCTGGCTCAGCTCCTTGTCCTCCTCCTCCACTCCGCGTTCTTTTTCTCCTCCTCCTCCTCCTTCTTCTTCTTCTTCTTGTTTTGTTTGAGTCAGGGTCTTATTATGTAGCCCAGAACCGCCTTGAATTCACAGCAGTCCTCCTGCCTCAGCCAGGGAGTGCTGGGATAATAGGCGTGTGACACCACACATGACCAGATCTGTGTTTGGCTCTGTTTTTAAAGATTTGTGGTTTTTTAAAAATTACTTCACAACGTCAAGGACCTAAATGGCAACTCTAACCTTATGCGGATGCAGGCAGTGTCACTGTGTACCTATTTACAAGAACAAGAGCACTCTCAGCACCGTGTACTCAGTCATAATTACACAGATACAGCATTTCTTGTGGCTCAGTATCTATTTCAAGGAAACAGAATGTTAAGTGTGTATAGTTTTCAATTTTTATAAAGCCTTAAACCACAAGAAAGGCCCACCAAAGCAAATTCACATGCGTCAGAACCATGATTCCTGCTGACAGTGCCAGAGGGCACCTAGGTGGGCTGGGGACCTTTCCTGGAAAGGGCTATGCAGCAAACATCTGAGGCTCTGTGGGTCGTGTGATCGCTACGTCCAACTGCCCAGCCTTGAACCTGTTGGACAAAAGTGACTGTGGGGGGCCTGTGCTACACTTGCACAAGGTCCGCTGAGTGTGGCCCACGACCCACGCTCCGCTGCCCTCTGAACCAGTTTTTCATTTCTACAAAGAGACTAGGCCAGAAGGTAAACTGCTTGGCAAGACTCACTGGATAAACTGTGGAAATGCCAAATGCAGTCCTCACGTTTCCAAGCTACCTGTTCACCAGCACACAGTGGGGCAGGGTGGCTCGGGACTGAGGCCAGAGCCTCGGCGCCACACTCCAGCCCAACCCAAACGCTGACACACCTGCACTGCACGGCGTGGGATAGCACAGTCTGCACGCACACACCCACCCACTGCTGTGCTCCTCATGTGTGTTCTTGAAACAGAGAAGCTCGATGAGTTGTGTTGTATGAATTCGAAAAACAATACATGCCGTTCAGTTTCAGGCCTCTCCAATGAGAGGATGCACTCACCTACACCTTCTATAATCTCAAAGAACATGTTCCCAGCAGTTTCCCAGAAGTGAAAAACTCCTGTGCCACCAGGCATGGAGACACTGTCAAGGCATTTCCAAAGAGATCATCCAAGAACTCAGTTTTTCAACAGTCTGATCCTTCTCCAGGTGAGCTGCCATACCTAGTAAGTCCGCGCCTTCATCCACGTCTCCAATGAGGCCGGAGCCGGCGGAAGAGAGTTCTTCAAAGAGGGACTCTGTGTTGCGGTCGAAAGCTCTGTTCTCTATGCCTTTGGTGGGAGTGCTATGCACAAGACAGAACAAGCCAATGGTTACTAACACTGTTTCTGACAGTGTTTTTTTTTTTTTTTAATTTATGATGACAGTGTTTAATATAATGAGCTAAGCATCATACGGCTTTCTTACCTATCATTTACGTTTACTGCACAATATAACAAAGATATCAAAAAGGTTTCTTAATTCCCATGAAATACCACAGAGATAACTGCTAAGAAACAACAGTGTGCTTTCTTTGTGACAGCCCAGCAACACACACACACACACACACACACACACACACACACAAACACACACACACACACACACACACACACACACACACATCAACAGCATCACTGCGACTACTATTCCAGCTCAGGATTGCCCCACATGCCGACAGATGCTGTTGTCCCCATTTCATCAATAAGGAACCCAAAGAAGCGAGGAACTGTGTCAGGGTCATTCAACAACCAAGTGTGTGTGGCGGGGGGAATCCAAACTCAGGCACTCTGGCTTCAGGGTCCATGCTCCTCACTGCTACGCTGTCCCACGTGACATCGTGTCCAGCAGAAATTACCAAGGCCTTTTTAAGAGCATTCTGGCATTATCTCTTCATTTTTTTTTTTTTTTTTGTGTGTGTGTGTGTGTGGCCAGCTCAGCCCACCAGGGGGCGGGGCTGGCTGGCATGTGGTGCTGGGGGATTGAACCGCGGTCCCTGTGCTTTACTAAGCTTGTTCTAAGTAGGTGCTTTAGACCACTGAGTCATCTCACCAGCCCCGCATTATCTCTTCAAATTGACCCAAAATTCTTTGACCAAAACTGTTCCAAAGAAACCCTGTGTAAGAAAGCATTTCCGAATGCAAAAGACTTAAGTGATTAGTAATACAGAATCAATGGAATAAGTTATGACTGTGTACACATTCAAAGTTCCAACTTCACGATTAAAAACATCCCAATGTAAGACAGAAGGCCTGGCATGGTGGCACACGTGTATGATCCCAGCACTCGGGAGGCTGAAGGAAGAGGATCACCACAGAGTTTAAGGCAGACCTGGGCTACATACGAAGTTCAAGACAGGCCTCAACTGCAAAATGAGACCCTGTCTCTGCAAACCAAACCAAACCAAAAAAATCAACAACAAAAAAACTCTAGAGGACTTCCTGCTAAACATGGTGGACTGAGAATAGTCATTCACACCTAATAATTCAGAAACCTAGGATGATAGTTAAGAGGCTAAAAGAGAGCCAGGTGGGGTGGCATACACCTGTAATTCCCCTGACTCTGGGAGGCTGAGCTGGCCACCGAGTCTAGGCATGATGGTGCATGCCTGTAATTCCAGTGCTAGGAAGGCTGAAAACAGGAGGATCACTAGGAGTTCAAGCTGCATAGTGAGACCCTGTACCAAACAGATAAAAAATAAAATATAAATAAGTAAGTAAAAACTGAAAATGCAGATAAAATGCGGTCAAAATTCTGTAGGATGGGAAACATGGGCAAACCAGTAGAAACTGAGTTCACAAACCAGAGAGCTGAGACCTAAGCCTCAAGGAGGCTGGTATGCTGCCAAAGGGTGTGAGAGTGTCGGCAAACGTAAAGATGCACACATGTGGGGCAGGCCGGCATGAGGCCAGGGGAGATCCGCCCGCGCCTGGGACCCTGCGCTCAGCACCGCTCCACACTGTGGACGCCAAGCTCTCCCTGCAGGGATGAAGCCAGGGCCCGGGCATCCTGGGAAGTGTTCTGCTGCTGAGCTAACCCAGCCCCAGAAGTTAGGTCTGAATGCTATGGCAGGGAGCTAAGGACTCTGCGCTACTTCTAAGTACGCAAAAATTGGTCACAGAACACCAGATATTTAAAGACCTGAGTAAGAAAGAAAATCCCCTCATCAGATGGATGCCAGTGAGGCACTAAGACAAAGGAAATAACGTAGGCAGTGCCAACAACAGTACAGAATTAAACCAATGTTTTTAGGAATAAGTGCTACATCCATAAACACACAACAAAGTAATACAAAAAACAGCACCCACAGCTCGTGGTGGCTAGCACCTGCAGCCTCAGCAGTCCAGAGGCTGAGGCAGGAGGGTCACAATGAGTTCAAGGCCAGCTTGGGCTACACAGTGAGTTCAAAGTTAGTCTGAACTACATAGTGAGACCTGTCTCAAAATAAATAAATAAATAAATAAATAAATAAATAAATAAATAAATATTAAAAAAGCCCACCTCATCTATGCAGCACCTCATTTTCAGAACCCTGAGAAATCTCTGCTCTTTGTAAATAAGCCAGTCTGGGTATGGTTAGAGCAACATAGAACACTAAGACACCATCCTTCCAAATGCTCCAAATGCCACAAGGATAACATTTCTCAAACGGAAAGAAACCATACATAACATCCAGTTTCAACAACAGACATGGAGTTTTGTACGGATATTTCTTCAGTGAAATGTATGAATCGATCTGGTCTAGTCAAAGACCAAAGCACACAATGCTTACGGGCATGGATAAAGAAAGCGAGGACATCCTACTGTGGTGTTTCAGTACCTTGACCCTTTATATCCACTGAGATCTTTGTCCATGTCCAACTCAGGAGTGGATTCGATGATTGCCTGAACTTCCGACTTGTCTTCATTTTCAGCTGAGCCTAAAAGAAGGCCACGGTGAGATAACACTGCACCTATGACACAGTGCCCTGAAGGGGAAGGTCTGTCGCTTTCATGGCTAGAAACATGGCGCTTGGATATTTCAGATCTCAGAGTCTGTTCTAGGAAACAGGGTGAGACAGTGTCGTATGTGTAGGGAACAGTCATTAGCAGAAATGAGGGAGCAACTCAGAGAAGCCTTCATTTGTGTTTCTCAAACACACAGGGCAGGCTGCCACTGCTTTCATTCATACTTTTGGGGTGGAATACAGAAAAACTAAGGACACAGACTAACAGACACTAAAGTAGGGGACGGAAAAGGACTGTCTTCCTGCCTTGTAGATCCTCTACCCTTCTAATTTATTCTCATACTCTCAATCATTAGGTTGAGCTCACCCAATGAGTCATCTACCTGTTGTATAGGTTTAAAGCAGGCAGTACACCCAAGACTTGTTTTCTCACCCTCACGTTACGGGTCTCCTCACCTGTGGACACATTCCTTGTCTCCTGGGCGACCTGCACTTCAATGTGCTTGCTTAGCTCTAACTTCGCTGGCGTGTCTGCGCCCCCTACTAGGCCTTCACGCTCCTCCTTCAGTGGGGTGTCGGAGGGGATGGCTGCCACTTCTGAGTTAGCTGTTGATGCGGGAGTAGTAGCTTTAGACCCACCTTGGCTGACATCAGAAAGCTCATCCTGAAAATAAAAATTAAAGAACATTTTAGCTGAGTAATCTATTCTAAACCACCTCCGAGATGAGTTAGGGATTGTGCCTGTAATGTAGCTCGCTAGTGGAGTACATGGTTGTTAGCATTTGCAAGGCCCTGGGTTCAGTTACCAGCACCAAAGAAAAGGAGGGGAAAGAAAGAAACTTGCCTGGAGAAAACTCAATTTAAAAGTTGCAACAGAGTCAGTGGTTACCACTAAAAAATGTCTTTTTGCAAATAATTGGGAACATTTAAGTAGATCATCTGCCCAGGCAAAGGTAAGATTTTTCTAATCAGAAAATCTAAAATTCAAAGATTGGAAACATCAACAGTAAAGTTACACACTCATGCCAGCAACAGTTTGAATGGCAGCTGCAACACTATCCAATGATTTGATAATAAAGACTGTCACACAGGAAGAGTGAGTACTCAAGAGCTACTCGAAGACAGCAGCTAACCAGACTCTCAGGGTAGTTTCATGGTTTTCAAATATTTAATATCCAAATCACATACCCTCGGGGCTGGTGAGATGGCTCAGTGGTCTAAAGCACCTACTTAGAACAAGCTTAGCAAAAACAAAGGGACCGCGGTTCAATCCCCAGCACCACATGCCAGCCCGCCCTGCCCCCTGGTGGGCTGAGCTGGCCACACACACACACACACACACACACACACACACACAAATAAAAATAAAATAAAATTTAAAAAAAAAAAAAAAATCACATACCCTGCCTGTCAAAGGGCCAGATTCTAAGTCCAGCTCCAGACTCCAGGCACCTGCCTAAGGTCAGTGAAGCCAGGTAACCCGCGCTGTTTAACACGCACACCCTCAGTAGACGCCGCGGTTCTGGAGTCTCTACATTGGTGGCAAGAGACCCACGCAGCCTGACACCATATACAAGATCTGTGTGGAAGGCTCTTCTCTAGAAAACAATCTAGAGCCTTTATTAGACTCAAAAAGGTTTGTGATGCCAAAGTAATTTTTATTTTGGTTACCAGAAATGAGAGTGTTTAAAATGTTTACCTATTTATTTGGTACAGAGTCTCACTACGCAGCTCAGCTTGGACTTGCAGTAACCCTGTCTCAGCCTCCCCAGCACTGGGATTACATGTGTGAGGCACCCTGCCCAGTTTTGGTGGCTACTCTAACCAGTTTTGGTGGCCAGCACGGCATGCCCAGAGTTCCGAGGCTGGCATGGCATGTGCTACTGGGGATCGAATCCAGGTCCTTAAGCTTGCCAGGCAGGCGCTTAGACTGGCGAGCTATCTCCCCAGCCCTTGTCTGTTTTTTTTTTGTTTTTTTTCCCTACAGCAAAATACAAAGGTACATAGAGAAGGAAACCTGACAAATACTTCACTCTTCCCACACCAGGAACAGTGACGTCTTAGCTACACAAGGTGGAGGCACAAGGATCACGTGTGCCCAGGAGCTCAGGGCTGGCCTATGCAACCACAAGGAGACCCTTTGCCTCAAGGTTTTTTTTTTTAAACGTGGCTTATTATGACTAAGTAAGAATTAGAATAAATAAAATAAATGTATTGATGTACTAAGCAAATTATAGTACATCAAATGTATGATCTTGGGTAATTCATACATTCTTATTATCGTTAATTTCGAATCTGTACCTACTTCATACAATTATTATAAACTGTTCTATATAATGACTTTGCAGTGCATTCCACAAACACTAAGCAACTCATAATTTCAGCTATTATTACAAAATACAGGGGCCTGGGGATAGCTTAGTAGAATAAGTGCTTGCCTGGCAAGTACAAGGGCCTGAGTTCAATCCCCGGTTCCATCAAAACAAACAAACCCCAACGATTTGTATAGTTATAAATATAACCATTTTATTTATTTATTGTAACCATTATTTTTGAAGGTAAGAGGAGAGCTCTTTATCCCTTTAGCTGTTCCCCAACACCCTTCAGCCCTACTCCAGGCTTCTGTTTGTTTCTGTTATAAGACATGTAGAAGGTGAACAGTGCACCCAGTGGCAGTAGGGGTGGGTTCTAACACACGAAGACCTCCACCCTAGCACGCCGAAGCCCCTGCACAATACAGCTCGTAACTCATTATCCCCTTTTCTTTTTAAACAGGGTGTCACTGTGTAGCACAGGCTGGCCACACGCTCATGGAGATCCTCCTGCCTCAGCCTCCATGGGGCTGGGTTAGAGGTGTGCATCACTCGCTGAACTCATCATTTTATCATTCATTTTAAGAAATGTGGAGGGCCAGATAGCTCAGTGGACTCAAGCACTGCTTAGGCAGAGGGCAGTGGCCAGGGTTCAATCCCCAGCATGCTGTGCCTGCCCCGCCCCCAGGGAACACTAGGCCAGTGACTGAGACTGGGCATGATGGTGCATGCCTGTAATCTCAGGGTTTGGGAGGCTGAAAACAGGAAGATCACTACCAGTCTGATCTATGTAGCAAGACCCTGTAGATCCTGTCCTAGATACATTAAGGAAAAAAAAAATGTGGACATCCAGACAGACACTGATCCACTTAACAAAACTGAACCTCCCCAGAAAACTACAATGGTACAGCCATATTAGAGCACAATATTTACATTTCCAATGACATAGGAAAAAGGTACACTGACGATACATACGTATACAAATATATATACTCTCAAGAAATAACCAAAGAAGTACACACTGCCATTTGTAACAGCAAAAATTTCCAGAGTTCTTCAAGCAAAAACTGGTGCGCGATGCAGGTTATGGGGTTAGGGCACAGGAACGGGGAATTACTGGCCAAGAGCATGAAGCTCGGCCCAAGCAAGGTGAGTGAGTGCTAAGGCTGTGCTAAGCAGGCCTGGGTCTTCAATCCACAAGCACAGATTATAATCCTAGTTAGTTTTTTAAAATGTATTTGGCTGTTATAAGGTCTCACTATGCAGCTGAGACTCAGTGATCCTCCTGTTTTCAGCCTCCTCAGTGCTGGGATTACAGGCGTGCGCCAGTATGCTTAGACTCTGGCCAGCTTAGCCCATCCTGGGGGCAGGGCTGGCGCGGCATGTGGTGCCAGGGATCAAACTGTGGTCCCTGCACTTGCTTAAGCAGGCACTTTAGTCAGCTGAGCCATCTCGCTGGCCCCTGTAATCTTGATACTTTAAGAGGGTAGTTCTCAGGGCCAGCGAGATAGCTCAGCAGACTAAGCACTTGCTTAGGTAAGCCCAGGGGTCAGGGTTTGATCCCTGGCACTGTCCCTGAGCACACTGAGTCAGCAATGGAGTACCGTGGTGATGCCCACCTGTAATCCCAGCACTGGGGAGGCTGAAAACAGGAGGATCACTTGAGTCTGAGCTGCATAGTGAGACCCTGCACAAAAAGAGGGTAGCTTTCATGTTATGTGTTCTAATACAATAACATTTTAAAAACTAAAATTCACAAACAATAATGCCTCAAAATAGAAAAAAGAAGCAAATTATAGTACATCAATACCATGTAGCAGTTTAAAATTGCGTTGTTGGCTGGGGGAGTGAGCTCAGCAGCCTAAGTGCCTGCCTGGCAAGCGGAAGGACCCAGGTTTGATCTCTAGTACCGTATGCCATGTCAGCCCTGCACCGAACCAGCCACCAACCGGGCATGGTGGTACACACCTGTAATCCTAGCACTGTGGAGGCTGAGAAAAGGAGGATCACTACAAGTCTGAGCTGCATAGTGAGACCCTGTACCAATTTTAAAATTTTTTTTTAAAAAGCATATAAAATGCCTACGATAGCAAATAAAATTATTTCCTCCTTGTGATCTTTTTTATTCTTTCCAGATTTTTTTTATAATTGGTAAGTGTGAATTTTATGATACAGGAAGAAAAGCTGTAAACAAATCTGAGTGATATGAACTTATCTTCCAGTGTGAGAGCAAGCGTTGGCAGAAGGAAGACCATTCATACCCTTCTGTGAATGGGGCTCTACATACCTCTAGCTTATGCTCACGACACGTGGACCACTTGTCACTTGTAACCCAGTTATACCTTAATGCAGTGAGCTGAACTGCACAGACAGTGACCTTCTCCTGTGGAGCTCAAGCACTGGACTCACTTCCAAAGTAAAGAAAGACAAATCAAAGGAATACACAGCTCAGCTCTCCATCACCGCCTCTCCTCCCCAGTGTAAAAGAGAAAGTTGTTCAGGGATGTAGCTCAGTGGTGTGGCACCTGCCTGAGTGCAAGGTCCGAGTTTGAATCCTGGCACTAAATAAATAAATAATAAAAATAATAAAAATAAATAAAAGATAAAGTTGCTCACTGGCACCAAAGACTGGCAGATCTGACAGACAAGGGCCACACTGGGCTGCAGCTGCAGGAGGTGCCTGCCTAGCAGGAGAGGTCTGGGCCTGACCACAGCATGGCACAAACAGCAAATGGCATGGCACAGTGCAGCAAATTAGCTGGTCTGGAGCAGCGCGAGGGAGAGCAGCAGTGAAGACGCAGAGCCAGAGGGGTGCTCGCACTGCGAGGACGGCTGCGAGCCCCCGCCAGCCCTGCACTGCTCACAGGGCAGGGGCGCTGTGGCCTCGGTTAATTCAGCTGGGTGGACACCTCACATTCAGGCCATCTTCTCCGTGAGCTTCCCCCTGGACAGCTGAGGACACAGTGCACACAGCATGCTCCTCTGCAGCCCATCAGGCCTGCCGCCGGGAGGCAGCGCCTCCCCACCGAGGGGATCACGGGCCTCAAATCCCTCTGTGGACCCAACAGCATGATCTCAAGGTGCTCCGAGAGCCACACTGCAGGCAGTAAAAGGTTCAGACAGCTCAGGGCTCCCAAGATCTCAGGCCGTAAGGAAGTAGTAAATTAGGATCTACTTAAAGAAAATGAAGTTTGAAATTCATTGCAGACCATGCTACCAACATGACATTTGCTTATCTGCAACTTACTTCCCTTTTGTACTTCTTACCACATAAAACAATTCCCTGTCCCTTAAAATGACCAGGCTCGTGGGCTGCACTTGGACAGCTGCATCCCAGGGGCAGATGGGGACT